TCTATTGAATGTAAATTAATTATACCAAGCTTGAATTTCTAAATGAAAGAAAACACAAAAGACGAAAACAACTCAGCTGTACAGAATGTACAGTGTATTGCCTCAGATAAATTTAAGGTTTGTAACGCACACCTTTATCAATTCTTGCTCTGATAACATGTTGGTTTCAGATAAGCCTGGTACTTCTGGGATGTTGTGTATTGTGTAATAATGCAAGAAGTTTCACATACATATAATCGACCATCATTTGAATGTATATTTGACTAAACTAATCTAAAAGCAGACATTAAGGTAAATTACCATGTAAGTAAATCTGTATGAGCTTTAATTACATACTTCCTCAATGAAACATTTATTTTTCATTCTTTTCCATTCACTAACAAGCTAACAAGTGTAAGTAATTAATGCTACATTTGCTGCTATATATACACTTCTTAGTTCCGTTATTTGAAGACTTACATACATTTTTAAGCAGACGCATATGTCCGTTTACATGCTGCACGGACTTTGATCAGGACATTTGAGTTGGATCCAACCTTCGTTCCTGCATTGACGAGCTTATCTTTTGTCTTAGGAGGCGAGTTGCTTTTTTAAGTAGATAATGCAATGGATCTTCTAACTGAGCAAGATATAGTTCTCTGTGATATTTGTGGCCAGTCATCTTTTAGTCATAGAAACTGTAGTCATAGTGCTCTTTTAGTTGTGGTAGGAATTAACCGGGACTGATTAATCAGTTTTGATTTGTGTACCTGAAAACAGGTACTATCGCTATAGCATTAGCAAGTACAAAACTAAGTCCAAGGTCTTTTGTAATACCTCATTTAATAGGAGTAAGAACTGATTAATACGTGTGCCATGGCATGAAACAGATACATGTTTCAGAAACACACTTAACACTGGTGACATAACAAACACTGCAATCACACTGTGATATGCATTTAATCAGTGCAAAATATCCTATAGAGACAACACAGGCTAGGAGTTTGTATTTCCCCACAATTCTATTATTATTACTATTATTATTATTACTACTACTACTATTTTAAAGAACACAGCTGTTTGAAACTCAATTTGACCTTGAACCATAATGCAAATATAGTTAATGGCAAACCTGTTTTTTTTTTTTTTTAGAAAATTACAATTTATTGCTTTATTGTTTTAAGTATTATTCAACATTCACATTGTTTTGCAGTTACAGAACGCAAGTACATAATAAAAGGCCATTGAAGTAAAAAGATCTTGACAAACATGGTGTATTTGTGCAAATGAATTGTAATCAGAGTCTGTTAAAATATGTGCAGATCTGTTGTCCTGATAAATTGGGTTGTTTTCAAGAGAGGAGATATTTTCTGAGAATCTGATTGGTGGACCCTGGTGGCTGTGAACTAATGGCTGGTTCATTCCTTTGCAAAATAAACAGTCAGAAATCAATACGCTCAAACTAAATCTTGCATTGTTTTGAAGTTGAATTTTAAATCAGATCCTTAAATGAAAATTAAAAGTCAAATAAATAAATACAAAGTCTAAAAGCTGGGCTTCAAGATGAATTTTAGCTTTAAATTGGTTGATAAATCCAAACAGTGATTGATATAATGATAATAATAATAACAAAAAAATATTTATAAAAATAATAACAATGTTTCATAGGCAACATCATGGTGGCTCAGTGGTTAGCACTGTCACCTCACAGCAAGAATGTCGCTGGTTCAAGTCCAGGCTGGATCAGTTGGCATTTGTGTGTAGAGTTTGCATGTTCCCCCCAATTTGGTTTGAGTTTTCCAGTCCAAAGACATGTGGTATAGGTGAATTGAATAAACTAAACTGGCCGTAGTATATATATATATATATATATATATATATATATATATATATATATATATATATATATATATATATATATATATATATATATATATATATATATATATATATATATATATATATATATATATATATATATATATCCAAGGACACTTTGCAAAACAAACACAACGTGAAGTTAACATGAGTTAGTGGAATGAGATACAATATTATGCCCAACATATTATTATTACAATAATAAGTAAAAAGTATAAAATTAAGGCAATATCTCTGGTAAGAAATATGTAGTAAATAAGTGAGTTTTGAAAGCAGTTTTGAAGGTCTGGCATGAGGAAATAAGCCAAAGACCTTGCGGTAGTTCATTCCAGAACTTGGCAGCAGAAACGCAGAAAGACCAACCACCCACACAGTAAAAAAATTACTGACAAAAAGTCAGTAAAATGTTTTTCTGTTTCTTTAACTCAAATTTGAATCAGTTAATTGTGTTTCAACTATACTTTTTTGTTGTTGTACATACAGTCGTTTTTTATCAGTTTGACTGATGTAAGTTAAGTTAATTCAACGAAAACAATTTAGGAATTATGTCCAATACGCACATGCGCACGAATTATGACAAATTCAACTGATTGACCTTATTTTGATTAGCTTTACAATAGATTACATATTACATATTTTTGTTTTTTGTCTCTTAGCTGTTTGTCTTATAATTTAGTGTCAATGTTGCTGTTGCCTCACAGCAAGAAGGTCGCTGGTTCAAATTTCGGCTCAGTTTGCGTTTCTGTGTGGAGTTTGCATGTTCACCCTGCGTTTGCGTGGGTTTCCTCCGGGTGCTCCGGTCACACCCTACAGTCCAAAGACATGCGGTACAGGTGAATTGGGTTGGCTAAATTGTCCATAGTGTATGAGTGTGTGTGTGAATGGGTAGATGTTTCCCAGAGATGGGTTGCGGCTGGAAGGGCATCCACTGTGTAAAAATGTGCTGGATAAGTTGGTGGTTCATTCCGCTGTGGAGACCCCTGGATTAATAAAAGCACTAAGCCGACAAGAAAATGAATGAATGAATGAATGAATGAATGAATGTTGCTCAGCCTTAAGAATCTGTCAGTCATAATTTGCAAATCTTTCATGTAGTTTATATGTCTTGGGTTTGTTCAGGTGATAATTTAAATGCAAAAATGCAAATATTATAAAAGCATAAACTATGTTTCAATTGCATGACTTCATAGCTGATTCATGCAGTGACAATATCATGTTATTCCATAACAGGGGTAAAGGTCATTTATACAACCCTTGATCAGAGATCATTAGTGTTTTTTCTGTTTCGGTTCAATGGATTACCAAGTTATTTTTCAATTAATGAGATATTTGTAGATCAAGAAAAAAATGCTCATTGTAGAAGAAAATTCCAGATGGTTTTCAGAGGTTTTTGCATCTGAACTCTTCACATACATCCCATAGGCATACACTTTAGGCCTAAATGTAATTTTAAATAACTTTTAAAAATATTTTAAAAAGTTACTCCATATAGTGAATAAGATCTGATTTATATTTTTTATATGACATACACACACAGTATAGTCTAATAATGACACAAGTCAAGCTGTTTACAGTTTGGGCCACATGAGAAATTTGCTGTCCCCTGGTGGACATAATTTTTTTATTTCTGTCAGATTCCCAGAGTTTTCCATTTCAAACGTAATAATCGTAATTCAGTTGCGAATGCGATGCGTACATTTTGTCTCTCTCAGTGCATCATTATTAAAATCCATATCCATATTTAACATAAGATAATTTATTGTCTGGAAAATTGAGTCACATGTACCACGGTATGGTGGGAGTTATTTCACTCTGTCATTTTCTTTTCAGCTTAATCCCTTATGAATCAGGTGTCGCCACAGCGAAATGAACCGCCAATGCAGCAGATGCCCTTCCAGCTGCAATCCAATACTGGGGAAAGTTGTTATTTGTTTATTTATTTACATGTTTTTTATTATTTTTTAAACAGTCATAGTACTTTAAATACATAAACTGATTTGATTAGTATGTTGCTTTTCGTCAAATCTTAAATTAGCATTTGAAACCCATGTGACCATGGGGGGAAAAGGATTGGCTATGTATAATGCAGTAGTAAATACTGACTACATCATATGGTTTTTCTGTGGGCAGTGTCCCACTAGGGGGCCTCAGAATAACTTAAAATAAATTAAGATAAGACAAAGCAAGCGTTGCAGTTCGCAAAAAAAAAAGATGTTTCTATTTAATTGCTTATTTTATAACAAACATACATCTAAAACATTTTATCAAGTAAATTGTAAGTTGTTATGGACAATGGTGGAGCTTTAAAGTCAAAACTAATTACATTTGTTATAATATGTAGCTAAATTGTAACATTTTGAATCGTCCTAAGACAAGAAAGGGTGTTGGACAACATGAAATAATCAACTTCAAATGTTGACTAATGTAAGTGTGTGCGCGTGTTCGTGTGCACATCATGAATTTACAGTATTTATATACACTTTTATAAAGACAAAGCACGTTTTACAAGAAATAAAAAGTGATGAAAAATGTGATGTTATCCAGCTGCAGACCATAATACACTTTATTTTCCACTAGTGACCAAGAACGGTTCTTCATTCAGTTTATTGCAATCTGCTCTACTTTGGAGTGTAAGGACTCTTCCAAGTAGTATGTTAGGTGTTTTCCTCTCACTAAATCATAGTGAGTTTTCGGAGATGTTTAATTTGCCCATCTGCTGCATTCGTGCCTGTCGCAATCAGAGCTATAACACCAAAGCTAACCGCATAATCTGAATGTTCTCAAACCTAAAATCTGACAACGCGTTATCCTTTACACGAGTCCCCCTACAGTTTGTTGTTGGACTCGTCCATTGACAGCGGAGCAGTGCTGTGTGTGTGGTGTCAGGTCTCTCGCTCAATGATGATGAGGTTTCAAGTGCGCCTTTGAGATGTTATGGAGTCCGTGGAATATTATTTCTTCAATTTATAACTTTTCCACTCCTTTTTATTAAAACAGCATTCCAACTTTAAGACTACAAAATCGAGCTGTACGTCTACGCATAGCGTATTAGCACTTTTGTTTGTTTATAGAAGCTTCTGTTAGTTTTTTCACACAGCGAAAATGCTGAAAGTTTTGTGAGGACACTCCTTCAAGACACGACGAAGCAAGGCTACAGTCGACAAATTGAAGTGTAAAGCAGCTCTCTATTTTTCTTTAGGGTAAGTTTAAGTTTCTATTGAGCCTCTAATTATCTTTCGACTGGTAAAACATATGCCGTTTTTGTGACCCATCTTTTGCATCATAGTCCATAAGAATTAATACACAACACCAAACCACTAAGTCTGTATGCATGTTTGATGCCTCATTTACCTATATTATATGGTTTTTACAAGGGTATACCTCTGAATGTTATGCTTTTGGAAAAGTAGTGTTGGAAAATTAGTATTTTATAGAAAAAAAATTTAAGTTAATGTACAGATCACCATTTAAATCCATCCATGTTGTCACGAGCTGTTTTTAATACCCAGAAAATGACATTTTGATACTTTGTGGCTTTATTATTATTCCATATATCACTTGATTCCTCATATATCCAGACTCAAAATAAAGTTTTATGTAAATATAATATATGTGCACATTATGAATAGCAAACAATTTACTAAATGTACTTGGTATAAAATTATAGTTACATTGTTTGTGATTATTTTGTAATAATTGCAATCCTGGTACCAATCACTATATGTAATAATAACAATAGGTTATTCTTGCAATTCACTTGCCATTGGTATTCCTAATTTCCCCTGCGTTAAGATCCCCTTGTGGGTCACAGCATGATCTTCACGGCTGGAGTACGAGGTCGATTCCTCACTTTTCCAATCAAGTCTCTCCATGATGTCTTGCAATCATCATCTCAGTTCCAGCCTGCCATCAGCATCAAAAAAAAAAAAAAGTAACTCTGCATTTCCATCTTTATTTCTTGTAAATACCAGAAGAATGTGCAAAACAGTTTCTGGGAAATTCATGTCTAGCTCATGACAATGTGAAGTGCTTTGGACGACCTCTTGACATCATTACATTTAGCTACAAGCTATTTCAGGGAAAAATACCCTGAATTCTCAGACGAGGGTACAAGCGGATTGTTTGTTTTCCTGTAATTTTACGGTCCGCCGAAGCAGCAAAGAAACTAGGTTTTTCTGTTCTACTGATCTTTTGACACCTGTCAGGGTGCATTTTAGTTAGGTCGCATTGGGGAATACAAGGCTTAATGAGCCTCACACCAACACGCACACACACACAATTAATTGAGCTGATGTTTAATGCATGGTGGGTCATAGATGAATCTGTAGAACTGCATGCAGAATTGCATTGATGTGTAATGCATCCCACACTTTCCAGGTAATGTTTTTTTTAGATATTTAATCAGGGTACATATCAGTGTTTGATTTGAATTTGCTATAATGAAGTGACATTTTTTGGAAAGTAATTAAGGGCAATAGTGCATCCTTTCACACTGGTCTGTGAAAAATACATGTTGAACGAGTGTGTAAAATCTGGTGGAGAGTCGTAACATTCCCATTTGCTAGAGTGGCAGTAATGGGGATACTGTAATAAGAGGATGGAGGGAAACAAAGACAAGTTTGTGCAACCAAGGCTACTGGTGAAAGTGGAAACTGGGGCTTGTGTGGAAATCATAGAGGAATGTTTAGTCATTAGATGCAACGCAAGAGCTTTGTCTTATTGTGACAGAATATTCCCTTTAGACACATGCATAGTAGGAAAAGAATGGACAAGGGTTAAACATTCGGGGAGAGGACAGTGTAGTGAATCAGTCTAATAGAAACTGGCATTTAGGATAAACAGAGAGGATATGTTAATCTAACGAATGCAAATGTACTCTTCTGAATGGATAGATTTAGTAAATGAAATAACATTAAAACACTCAGAAGGTTGGCTGAACTTTATTCCAATGCACTGATTGACATTTCTAACCCTATTTTCACCCTTAAAGCCAAGGCATAATTTATTCAGAAATAAAACTGCTTTTATCTTTTAGGTTTCTCTCTTTTAAACCTGTGTAACTATACTTCCTTCATGGAAAACTTGTACCGAAGAAAGTTCCAATGATGTCTTTCCATGCACTCACAAAAAAAGGTGACTGGAGATTCCTTTAAAAAGGACACAGATGCACTATAAAACTGGGCCATATGACTAATGCGTTTCCTGAAGTCTTGCAGTAACTTTTAGTGACAAAAAGTTCAAATTCCCCGTAAGTGATGACATCATACTTTCCATATGCTTGATAGTTCATGAGCAAAATCACAATGTTTAAATAGCAAAAAATAATAAATGTTCAATTGGATCTTTTCAGTGAATTAATTTACCTGGATAACAAAACCAATAAGAAGTAATCGGTCTGATCCAGTTCTCAAGTTCAACTAAACTGACTGGTCCATGTGTTAACACTATTTGAAATTACATGCTTTGGATGTGATCAAATATTGTAGCTCTTTGGAGTTTGAAATTTGAGTGAATGAGTTTATTCAGTTTACAAAAACAATAAATTAAATGTTTGTAGCTTAAAGTGTACACACTTTAAGCTACAAACGTTTAATTTATTGTACTCAACTGGCTTCATTTTGTCACATGCCCCGAAAAACACATGCAAATAAATTTGAAATGATTCCACTTTGTTGTTAATTGTCTCTTTAATAATCCTAACTATGTTGCAGATCTCTGTGATGTGACTATTGTGGACTTGTACATTGCGATATCAATGCTGAAACCATATAATGTGCAGCCCTACCAAGAACCTTTTTTTCACTGTAAGACCCAAAAAGTTAAGATAACACAAACCGTTTGAGGAAACCGATTGCAACAAAACATTTATGTTTAAAAACTAATCCTAATGAGAACTATGAACTTAATCCATTTTAGTAAACGAAGCAATTTGAGCACAGTAAAACCCAATAAATGAAAAGAACTCAAACCAACTGAGTACTGTAAAACCCATTAAGTTAAGTCAACTCAAACCGTTTGAGGAAACGACTGCTACAAACCATTTGAGTTTAAAAACTAATCTATATGAGTACTGTGAACTTACTCCATTTGAGTTGAAGTAATAAGGTATTTAATTAACTTAACAACACTGAGTTCAAAACTCTTTTCAAATGAGTGGAATTAATTTTCAGTAAATTGTGAGTTAAAGTTGACTGTTGGGCTTTACAGTTTTGATAACATTTACATTTCAGTCTGTTCATCACATGAATTTTAATAGAACTTATAGATATTTTAATGAAAACTTATAAACTAAATGTATGTTTCATGAAGGCTCCAGTTCCTGTTCTTTGTAATTGTATGAAAAGACTGTAAATTCTTAGATTTTTTCACAAGGTTAGAATAAATGTTTGGTTGATGTGAGGACTAAAATATTTGCATGAACTGTCGCTTTAAGAAACTCGAGGTCCTTCTTTGCACTGTTGACATAGGAATCTATATGGTTTTCCCAGTTTCCTTCAGGGTGTGTGAGTGTCAGTGGTATGGCTTACAGAAAGTCACACCTGTAAAGCATTATGCTTTGTGGTTTGAGTGGCAGAAGATGCTTGTGAATCATGAGCTACTGGAGCATACAGTAATACACCATCTGCTCTCCATCCGAGGACATGCGTGTCTCACACTTCTCTGTTCTGATTCAATCTTTTGCAAAGAGCTTTTTTCAAGCATTTGTGAAAATTAGGACTGCTCTCGACTTCTCACTCCCCTCATCAAGTCTTTCATTTGGTTCCTCTTGCACACAGAATGAATATGTGGGCTTGAGTCTGGAGTCTGTGCCCCCTGTGATGTTGTTATTTCTGCTGGATCAGGGCCTGTGGGGACCCTGCTTTTTTCATATTCTTTTTTCCATTTGACAGCAGCACAAGCTTATTTTTTCCTTTAGAATGGAAAGTTCTGGGTTTCTTGTGGCTTGGTGAGTGTCGGAGGGAAAGAGGGAGGGAACAGATCGTCACGCCCATGTTTATGTCTGTATGCCTGCGTGCTGCCAGGCCAGTAAGCTTCACCCATGTGATTACAGCCAAAGGAGGAGCTAGTCTGATGATGGCCCTGACCAACTGAGAAAACTGAGGAGAACATTTTCTGATGAGGTGCAATCAAGTCAGAATGTAGGCTACTTCCGTTCGATGAAATGATAAACTAGTACTTTGTAAAGAAAGTAAATTTAGTTTTAGCTTAAATATATAAATAGACATTCAAGGTCAAGTCATTTTTATTTTCATAGCACTGTTACAATACAGATTGTGTCAAAGCAGCTTAAAGGAATAGTTCACCCAAAAAAAATACATTTACTTATTATTTGCTCACCCTTAAGTGATTCCATGGCTTTATAAGTTTATTTACTCTGTTGAACACTAAAGAAGTGTTTGAAGAACACTGAAGAAAGCTGGAAACCTTTAACATTCAATATATCTTCTTTTATGTTATGCTTTATGTAAGAAAGAAAGTCAAACCGGTTTGGCAAGTGTAAAGGGTGAGTATCAGAATTTTCAGATTTGGGTGATTTATCTTTTTAACATATGAAAAAAAAACTTAATTAAAAGTCATAATATTCCCTAACAATAAAATATTATTTCATAACAATACATTACAGCATATCAGGCAGGAGGCAGAGTTGTGTAGAATGCTGGGGCTTCATTTATAAAATATTTTCTAAATCTAAAGTTCATGCAGTGGCACAGTAGGTAGTGCTGTCTCATCACAGCAAGAAGGTCACTGGTACGAGCCTCGGTTGGGAGCAAAGTTTAATTGTCCATAGTGTATGAATGTGTTTGGATTTTTCCCAGAGATGGGTTGTGGCTGGAAGGGCATCCGCTGCATTAAAACGTGCTGAATAAGTTTGGGGTTATTCCTCTGTGGCGACCCCGGATTAATAAAGGGTCTAAGTCGAAAAGAAAATGAATGAATGAATGAAGGACAGTTCATTCACAAAATTGCGATTCAGAGGAAATGAAGATGCTCATAGAAACCTGTGAGTACGCTACTCTTCCAGATGTGAAAATTATAAATAGCAAATGATCTTGAAGTTGTGAGAAGCTGACAGCTGTTAAATCTGCACATTGTAAACGCCCCATAATGAATTTTATTATGATTCTATTACCACATAAAAGAGCACACGCCAATATCCTCATTTCAATGCTTAAAAATGGCAAGCACAAAGAAAAACTAC